CACTTTTATTTATACTCTTGAGGCATTTGTATAGTCAACATTTCAAACATTCGACTTCTCAATCGGTATTGGTCTGGGGTATGGGGACTCAAGTCCACGAGAAGATATCCGTGAGGTACCTGGGTGGCTTTTTGATAAGCAGACATCAAATGAGGTAAAGCTAGCTGACGACTCAACACACTGATCTGTGATTTGCCTCTGGGATTTTTGACTAAAATAAGACTAAATAATGAGCATTCAAACTAATGGTGCGATGAGAGGCAGCTCGATCAAATAAATTCTGAGTGATGTAAATCACACTGGTATTCCGATGATGGGCTTTACGGGTAAACCAATCCACAATAGATTCGATGGCTTTTCCTCCCATCATGTCGTCAAACATAGGTAATCAGAGATTACAGAGCTCACCTCAACGTGTGTTGTCTTTAAGGAAGGCAAATTAAGTCACACAATTAACCAACAAAAAGTATACATCCAAAAATGCAAAATTTATGCAATTTTGATACTTTGGAATAGACCTATATAAAAACTAAAAACTAGTTCTTCATCATGAAAATGTAATTAAAATCCAGCATCTGAAGCAAGATTGAGAGTTTTCATCTCTTGATGCATCATTTAAGCAACTGGTTTATATAAACTTTATAGTTTCTTGGTGATAGACTTGCACCCATAACTTTTACGAGGTCTATTATCTGGAAAATGTATGTAGAATTCAGCATCTGAAGCAAGTCCATTAGTGTGCATCCTAAGATGTATCATCCATGCAAGTTTGGTCAACATAGGGCTTAAAGTTACTTGCAAATGAAACCTGTATAAAATAATTAACCTTTCCACTTATCCAGAAAATGTAGGTCAGATTCAGCATCCGAAGCCAGCCTAGTAGAATGCACCCTTAGATGTATCATCCATGTAAGTTTGGTCATTATAGGGCTCAAAGTTACTTGGAAATGAAACCTGCACCATTAACTTTAACCTGTTTACTCGTCCAGAAAATGTAGGTCAGATTCAGCATCCGAAGCAAGTCTGGTAGTATGCATCCTAAGATGTACCATCCATGCAATTTAGTCATTATAGGGTTCATAGTACACTGTACCTTGAAAATGAAACCTTCACCAAAAACTTCAACCTGTTCACTCAACCGGAAAATGTAGGTCAGATTCAGCATCCGAAGCAAGGCTGGTAGTATGCATCCTAAGATGTATCATCCATGTAAGTTTGGTCATGATATGTCTCATAGTAACTTGGAAATGAAACCTGCACCAAAAACTTTAACCTGTTCACTCAACCGGAAAATGTAGGTCAGATTCAGCATCCGAAGCAAGTCTAGTAGAATACATCCTAAGATGTACCATCCATGCAAGTTTGGTCATTATAGGGCTCAAAGTATCTTCGAAATGAAACCTTCACCAAAAACTTTAACCTGTTCACTCAACCCGATGTAGGTCAGATTCAGCATCCGAAGCAAGGCTGGTAGTATGCATCCTAAGATTTATCATCCATGTAAGTTTGGTCATTATATGTCTCATAGTAACTTGGAAATGAAACCTGCACCAAAAACTTTAACCTGTTCACTCAACCGGAAAATGTAGGTCAGATTCAGCATCCGAAGCAAGTCTAGTAGAATACATCTTAAGATGTATCATCCATGCAAGTTTGGTCATCATAGGGCTCAAAGTATCTTCGAAATGAAACCTTCACCAAAAACTTTTACCTGTTCACTCAACTGGAAAATGTAGGTCAGATTCAGCATCCAAAGCAAATCTGGTAGTATGCATCCTAAGATGTATCATCCATGCAAGTTTGGTCAACATAGGGCTTATAGTTACTCGGAAATGAGACCTACACTAAAAACTGCACCAAAAATGTTAACCTGCACCAAAAACATTAACCTGGTCATTCCTTTGCTGAAATTGCAGCATCTGAAACTTTGACTGGTACAATGAAACACACTAGCAACATCTTCCATGCATGTCTAATCAATATAGGACATAGAAGTACATAAAAAGAAAACTGCTCCAAAAAACTTAACCTTAACCCGGGACGCCGACACCGACGCCGAGGGTATCACATAAGCTCCCCCCAACTTCGTTGAGGTGAGCTAAAAATGAGTAAATGGGACACACTCAAATTGGCTACTAATTTCTCGTCGTCTTCTGGAATATTTCGGATGAAAGATACTTTATCTTTTAAAGAAGTGTAAGCGGGTTGCCATTCCCGATAACACCAGACAATTTTTCGGGCATGGGGGTGATCCAGTCTACATTGTTCACTAATGTCTTGACAAATTCTGTTTTGCCCGATTTCGAGGGTCCAGCAACCACCATGGTAAACTCGTGTTTCAATTGAAAAGAAGGGAGGGGTGTCTCTTCGGAATACATGTTGACCAATGAAAGAAAAGTTGGGTTCAGGATCTTATTTATACATAACACAGAAATAGGCGTTTGGACTGTTGAATCTCGCCTCGACAGATGGGGCAAAACTGAAAAGAAGGAGCACACAAGGCACAGCAGCATACGTGTCCGCAAGGTAGAAAAACGATTTGTAATTCCTCGTCTAAACAAATGTGACATTTCCCTCGAGCCTGGACGTCTGGTTGTGGGTTCAGTAGAGGTTTAATCTTAGGTAAAGGTTTATATCCCTGTTGTTCTAAAAACATAATGAACACATTCATCACCCATCCTCGTCCCTTATACAGATTGATGTAAGAACAATTGGGGTTCCAATAAGCATGTTCTACACAAGGATCGTCCTCGGGATCCCAATTACTAAAAGTAAATCCACAATAAAAACAGGTGACGTTATCTTTCACTCCCTTGTTGTAAAACCCGGCTCGAGCTAGGTCTGGTATTTTTAGGTCACCTGAGTAACTCAGGTGACCTATTGCTATCCGTTTTCGTCCGTCGTCGTCCGTCGTGCGTCGTGTGTCGTGTGTTAACATTCGAACATTTTCAGCTTCTTCTCTGAAACCACTGAACCAATTTCAACCAAATTTGGTATACAGCATCTATGGGTGGAGGGGAACAACAATTGTGAATTTCATGGACCCGCCCCCCTGGGTCCTGAGGGGTGGGGCCAAAACCACTAAAATTAATGAAATCTTTAAAAATCTTCTTCTTTACTCCTGGACATCAAGCAGGCAAACTATTGGCATGAATGTAATAAGCATTGAGTCCTATACCAAAATTGTGAAATTCATGGCCCCAGGGTCAGGGGTTCTAGTGCTAGGGTGGGGCTCTATAGATTATATAGTGAAAATTCATTATTTCTTTGAAAATCTTCTTCTCTGCTCCTGGGTATTAAATACACTAACTAAGCACATAGTTATGATGAGCAAGAGTGCCTCTTCCAGATTTGTGAATTTTATGGCCCCAGGGTCAGGGGTTCTGGTGTTAAGGCAGGGCTCTATAGATAATATAGTGAAAATGCATTATTTCTTTGAAAATCTTCTTCTCTGCACCTGGGTATTAGATAAACTAACTAAGCACATAGTTATGATGAGCAAGAGTGCTTCTTCTAGATTTGTGAATTTTATGGCCCCAGGGTCAGGGGTTCTGGTGTTAGGGCGGGGCTCTATTGATTATATAGTGAAAATGCATTATTTCTTTGAAAATCTTCTTCTCTGCTCCTGGGTATTAGATAAACTAATTAAGCACATAGTTATGATGAGCAAGAGTGCCTCTTCTAGATTTGTGAATTTTATGGCCCCAGGGTCAGGGGTTCTGGTGTTAGGGCTGGGCTCTATAGATAATATAGTGAAAATGCATTATTTCTTTGAAAATCTTCTTCTCTGCTCCTGGGTATTAGATAAACTAACTAAGCACATAGTTATGATGAACAAGAGTGCCTCTTCCCAAATTGTGAATTTTATGGCCCCAGGGTCAGGGGATCTGGTGTTAGGGCGGGGCTCTATAGATTATATAGTGAAAATGCATTATTTCTTTGAAAATCTTCTTCTCTGCTCCTGGGTATTAGATAAACTAACTAAGCACATAGTTATGATGAACAAGAGTGCCTCTTCCAAAATTGTGAATTTTATGGCCCCAGGGTCAGGGGTTCTGGTGTTAAGTCGGAGCTCTATTGATTATATAGTAAAAATATATTTATTCTTTGTAAAGATTTTTCTTTGCTTCTGGGTTTTAAGCCAATTATCCAAGTATGTATATATATATTTATGATGAAGAAAGGTGCATCTAGCAAAGTGGTTTTTAACGCCCCCAGGGTCAAAGGGGGGGGGGGGGGTTACATAGCCTGAAAATAAATTAAATCTTTGAAATCTGCTGTTTGGTATTAATCAACCATTTTATGATAAAATTTGCAAAATTTTGAAATATATGGCCCTGGGTCAGTGCATGGTTCCTTTGGGGTGAGGTGCACAACTGGTTATAAAGTGGAAGTGCATTTTCTCTTTGTTACTCTGATCTACCTCTGGGTATTAAGTAAATAGAGTAAGCATGCTAAGTTAATAATTATGATAAGCATATGGTGCCTCTTTCAAAATTGTAAATTGTGAATTTCATGGCCTCCGGTTTAAACACGAACCAAATTTAATTGTTTGAAAGTTGTTACACAATACTCAGGTGACCTATAAGGCCCGTGGGCCTCTTGTTCCTAAGAGAGGTTCTGGCCATCCTTGCTCAAAAGTAGCTTCTCTCTTTGAGAGCCGAGCATACTGGGGATAACGCATGGGTTGATCTAGCAATTTCTCAATCATGACTGAACTTTTGATTTGTATTGCCCCCCTTTTTATAGTGAAGAAGAAAAACAACAACACAGAAAACAACAATTCAATTTTTTTTTAATTCAATGTCAACATTGAACATATCAATAACCATAAGGTAAAGTGTTATAAGAGGGTAACAATTGTCTCTTGTCATACACAATTCTATACTTTTTCTCTAATGGTTTGCTCACGACCTCATGATCACGAGTCCTCTGGATTTTGTTGGGATAAGGGACTGTCACTTCCTCTATTTCTCCTTTGAGCATTTTTTCTAAAGTCTCTAGGGACACGATCTGGGAAGAGAATAGTTAAGAGTGATGCCTTTGACTTTATGAACCTCGGTTCCTTTGGCTGTCCGGTAACCATAATTTTTAGGACCTGCCGACATGAATTTGATGATGTGATCCCCGTCTAATTCGTCGGTCCATTCTCCTAAACTATTACCCAAGGTAGGATTAAAGGCTCCTTCCCGATGTTGGTAAATGATACTGTCCGTATCGAAATAAACGACCCGATCTCCTAAAGGTTGTAAAGTCTCGTAGAGGTGTAAACGGGCATGCGCGGTGGTAAAACAAGCCAGGATCACGTTTCCAAAGGGACATTCTTCGACGAATTCCTGTTTGTCTTGATAATTCACTAGCATCTTGTCCTTGTTGGAATCTTCTTTATTGTCTAAGAGTTGCATGCCCTTGATGTCGAGAGTCGAATCTTGTAAGAGTTGCTGTAATTCCTCTTCTTCGTCCAAGTATCTGGTTTTGGGTAATAACAAGCGTTGAGCAAATTTTCCCCACAGACAATTTAAAAAGAGTTTAGCAATGGTTCTTCTCACTGGATTCTTCTCGATACTGAGAATGTCCATCATGAATCCTTCTTTGTATAACACTTGTCGAATGTAATCTTGTTCTTGTTCTGAGGTCTTACAGTCAGGGGGAAATCCGGACGCTTCCTGTTTGATCTTGAGGAAGGTATCGATGTAAGATCTGAATAACTCTTGACTGCTTTCTTTAAAATGCCATACTTCGTAGATTCGATCTAAGGTATATCCCATCTCTAGGGCTTTATGTAATTCGGTCGTCACCCAAGTACCCGTGAGACTACGTTCCTGGGAGGTGTGTTGACATCGATCTTGAGAAGTAGAGTCCTGTTGTTCGGCACACGTGCGACATAAGGGAAATAATAACTTGCCTCCCGTCCGATAAGGTAATACGGGGTGATAGAGGTCTCGGGGAGGTAAGACCCGACAGTGAATGAGACCGAAATAATTTCTCACATCCTGGAACTCGTCTGTGATGATCTCGGGATGCCCTACGGGAAAAGGTCTGTGTTTCAACACGTAAGGGAATAGGGAACAAACGTCCACGTATCTCATGTCCCCTTCCTCACAATATAATCGGGTGGCATTGGTCCGGCCCCCGTACAGGGCTTCTCGAGGGTTCAAAGGATCCGGAATGTCCAGGTTTCCTACAAATTGCTGTAAACTCTCATCTTTTTGCACTTGCTGATCGAAATCGTGCTCCCAGATACCAAGGACGGTATACCCCATGTTTTCTAAATCGCCAGTCCTTCTGAGGGTTTCTTCGTGCAATTGCTGGTAAGTATATTGGGTCCGATGAGGATGAGTTTCGGTCTGTAAACTGGGATAGCAGGTGGGGCATCCGTGCCAATAGCACTCGTAAAATTCGTAGACGGTGGGAGTCGCTTCCTGGTATCCGTCGACGGTATAATTTCCGATCTGGACTTCACCCCCGTTTCTGGCATGTTGTATGTGACATCCGGTCTGTTGACTCATCCAGGTGAGCCACCGACAGGCTTTAGCCGAATAGTGTCGTGCCGGTTGATACCCGAGGTTAGGAATGATGGCTATGGTGTCTTCAGACATGAATTGTCGGCGGTAGGCTAAATTAGCAGCACTGGCAAAAGTGATGGATTCCTGGAAAGGGTCCACATTGACCAAAGTCTTGAGGGTGGATCTAAATTGTGCACAGCATCGGCGTAAAATGTCGACGTCGGAGATACAATACTCTACAAACTCTTTCTGGAAATCAAATACTTTTCCCCTCTTTTGTTCATACCATTCAAAAAAAGCCCGTTGTCCCCTGATAGACATTTCGTCCGGATTGTAGAAAGCTGCCGGTGGATAAGGTCCTACGTAATTCTGGTTCTGTTCCGTATTAAAAAAGTGGGGGAAATAGCCTTTCTTCAATTCGTCGAATCCGAAAGCGGAGGGCATCTTGGCTAATGCCAATGGTAAGAAATTATACGAGTCGATGTATTTCAGTCCGCATATTTCCATGTACAAGATCTTACTGCCGTTCATGATGACGTTCGGTTTCAGGCAAGAGGAATGCACCAGGTGGTTCAAAATGAATTGTCCGTAGTGGGTTGTAATAACCAGTCCATGAACTTCTTTAAGGTGTCTGATCCTTGAAATAGGTGCTGACGGGGTCCCATGTGTTGACAATGAGGGCAGGGTTGGTCTATGGGTAAGTGATCGCAATGTTGACAGACGCGATGTGCCACACAGATTAGGGATGTGAATGCCGGTTTCCTGAGTGCATTCGAAATCGAAATAGATGTAAAATTGTAAGGTGTCTTTCCCCTTCTTTTTCTTCTGGGGCTTCTGTTGTACGTAGCACTGATGATCGGTATCGACAATTTTCTTACAGATCTTACACTGTTTCTGTCCTCCACACTTGTGATAAAAGCTTAGGCATCCAGGAATGACACTTCTCGCATAGTCCCATTAAATTGCACACAGTAGTGGTTGTCTTCTTACTATGAGGTCTTAAATGATTTTCGTAGCAGGTCCTGTTCTTGAAAGTTCCATGGCATTCCTGCCATCGAATCTTGATCCCTTCATCGGGACATTCAGGGCGCCCTAAACAATATAAACAATACTTACAGCGATGAGGACACTTGGTTCGATGGTCTGTGAAATTCCTGTACCCCACGTCGCAATGATCACAGTAATATTGGTTCCCCGTCACTCCCGGTATCGATAGGATGGCATCGTAATGATGGTCGTTTAACAATATGTTCAATCAAGTTCCGTCTCCCCAGCCTTTGAAGATGCGCTCTAAGGTGAGTTAAGTCGAAGTAGACTTGAACTGAAATATTTTCAGTCGATACTGAGGAGCTAACAACTGTTGTAATTTCATCCACTCTGCATATCCACAAGCTTAAGTGATATCACACTTGGCCTGTTCCATGAGTGCTAAGGCTTAGTTCTTCTGGTCATTGGCTCTTACATCTCCTAATCTCATGCGTTTCCATTGTTTTTCCCATTCGGGGTCTGGATGTTTGGGTTTTTGACTGTGTAATCGAGTGACGACGATGGCTCTAGCTAAACAAAATGTATCCCAGGGATTGACGATCCGAACGATGGCTCTTTTATTGTTTTTAAAAGTCTCCTTATTCACGTGTAGATGTTTGGTTTTCTGGCCACCACTTTCCTCGGGATACTTGACCCGAAACATATCAAATTCCATGCCCCCGTCCCCCAGTTTGAACTCCTTTCTGGATTGTTGCACACGTTCTATTTTGTCTAAAATGACGTCCTCGTTAAAATCTTTACATTGAGTAAACTCGTACCAAATCTCTGATTCCAGAGATTTGTGGCGTATGTTCAGGCGGAGGTAATCGTTGGGATTACACTGCATTTTCGATTTGAAAGTTTGTAACATGTGTCTGAATAATCGCCGAACGAATCCTCTGTTTTCTTCCTCTGGAAACTCCTTAAAAACCACAGCGTAAAAATCCTCTTGAGCTTTAAATTTTCTAGAGTGCATCCTATGATTCACTGTGACTCGATAATACTGGGATATGGCGTTGGGTTTGGGTGGTGAATGGATAGGTAACTTTGACCCCTCATGCGCCCTAGTCCTTTGCTGTTGCTGTCGTTGTTTTTCTAGTTGAGCTCTTCTTTGTAATAGTCTGGCATTTCTTTTCCGAAGCTTTTAATTCTCGCTCTTTATTTTCATAGAATTTGATCTAATTCTCTTTCCCGTAATTATGTTCCCCAAACGAAGTTGGGGAACATATTGTTTTTACTCTGTTTCTTATTATTAAGGTCTTCCGTCTCCAACGGAAGACCTTCTTGTTATTCTTCGGTTTCTTTTTCCCTATTATTATTATTCTTACCGATTTTGTGCACGCGATTTCTCGTACACTACTCGGCCGATTCTCATGAGACTTTCACATCTGATAGGTACTGATCTGAACCTTATTGGAAATTTTTTTTGTTGATGACGTCACTTCCGGTCGTGAGTTATCTACAATTGCTTGATTTTAAAATGCAATTTTGTCTGAACTTAGTAGCGAAAACTGCTTAAGATATCAACAGGAGACTTATTTGAGATGATAGTTTATGACTTATAGCGTTGCAGAATCGCCTTTTCGTGCATCGTCAGTACTTCCGGTCGATACCGGAAACGAATTTAAAAAACGCAATTTTTCAACTTTTCTTTTTTAATATTTTTGTTTTTTTATTTGAATAGAGACCCTTTTGCAGAAGCGAAATATGTAATTTGTTTGAAAATCGAAAAAGCCAATCTCGAGATATTTGCATTTGAAAATGCGAAGCGGCGATCCCAATGGCTAAATGGTTAGCGCGTTGGATTGTCACGCGGGCGACCCGGGTTCGATCCCCCATGTGACCAAAAAATTTTATCATTTTTTCTGCTCGATTTTTCGATAATTTTCAATTTTAGACCATTTGGAACAATATATTATAAACTTTAAGGCATATCTTGCGTAATTAGGGGTCACAAGGGGTCAGAATGTCAAATCTTTGACGCTTTATATCTCGAAAAGGGGGAATATTTTGATAAGCAATATTGAACAAAAGATGGTTAGAATAATGTTCTCAACAATATGCATACTTTGAATTTTTGTAAAACGGCCCCATTAAGGACTTGTAGGAGTGGCCCCTAAATATTTCCATTTAGCATATCTCCACAACGAATAGAAATCTCTGAATATGTGTTGAACAAAAAATCTTCAAAATCACAAGACCTTTCATTTGATATCAAGAAAATGGGGCTGACCCCTCAAATTAGGGGCTCAGAGGGGCCAAAAGTATTTTAACTATAACTCTCTAATGATCAATATTTTGTTATACATTACTGAAGCAAAAGTATTTATCTTAACGATTTGCAACAATATATGATACAATTTGGATCATATGTGACGTAATTAGGGGTCACAAGGGGCCAGAATGTCAAATCTTTGTCGCTTTATATCTCGAAAAGGGGGAATATTTTGATAAGCAATATTGAACAAAAGATGGTTAGAATAATGTTCTCAACAATATGCATACTTTGAATTTTTGTAAAACGGCCCCATTAAGGACTTGTAGGAGTGGCCCCTAAATATTTCCATTTAGCATATCTCCACAACAAATAGAAATCTCTGAATAAGTGTTGAACAAAAAATCTTCAAAATCACAAGACCTTTCATTTGATATCAAGAAAATGGGGCTGACCCCTCAAATTAGGGGCTAAGAGGGGCCAAAAATATTTTAACTATATATCTCTAATGATCAATATTTTGTTATACATTACTGAAGCAAAAGTATTTATCTTAACGATTTGCAACAATATATGATACAATTTGGATCATATGTGACGTAATTAGGGGTCACAAGGGGCCAGAATGTCAAACCTTTGTCGCTTTATATCTCGAAAAGGGGGAATATTTTGATAAGCAATATTGAACAAAAGATGGTTAGAATAATGTTCTCAACAATACGCATACTTTGAATTTTTGTAAAACGGCCCCATTAAGGGCTTGTAGGAGTGGCCCCTAAATATTTCCATTTAGCATATCTCCACAACGAATAGAAATCTCTGAATAAATGTTGAACAAACTAGTAAACTAATTGTTCAGAGAACAATGAGACGTCTTTCCACCTTTTTAAGTGTTTCCGTGTCCTTTGGCTTGAAAAAAAAAAAAATGTCCAAATAAAATGGGCCCCCAGCCGGATTCGAACTCGGGAACTTCAGATTGACAGGCGAAATAAAAGCACATGGATTTAAACAAAAATAGACACACGTGCGTTTTTAAATAGTACAGAAACACGTGTATTTATTTGTTTGTGATGGAACATAGAGACGAATAATGAATAGTTCTGAGAAACATGATTGGTGGATAATGAAAATGCCGATTTCCTGTAAAAACAATTCATTTGAGTTTGTTTATAGTTTGAAAAGATTGAGTTTATCATACAGAGCTTATGATAAATTCGAACTTCCGTGTCTGAACTGTGTTTACAATTTATGAAAATATAGGCGCTGCGGTTCGTTTCAACACATATGGGGAACTCATAGGTAAGGTTAAATAATCATCTCTATTTGCATTGAATTAATAGTTATCAGCGTAAATTAAACTTGAAAGATGCATTTCATGAAGAAAACTGTGTCACTGAGAGCGTGGAAATGTATTTGAGAGGAAAATTCGCTTTTTTTTTTTTTTTTTTTTTTTTTTTTTTTTTAATTATTCGATTGATATTAAATCTAAATAAAATTGAAATAAATTTGAGTGAGGATCAAGAAGATCAAAGGTCAAGAGTTAAGATCATTTTAACCCCCCCCCCTTCAATAAAAAAGAGAGAAAAGTTTATAAGCAATTTGGACACTTTTCCAATAACCTTGACCTTTGACCTTGACCTTATCCTCAAGGTCAAAGGTCGAAAGATCTCATGCATTGTCCACATGTCTTTACGATGTGTCGTTAAGAAGTTTTCAGTTCTTCTTAAACATGAGAAACTGTCAGGGTCAATAACTGCTTAAAACGGTTAACGAATTCTTTCGCACTAATAGAATGAAAAGTGTACTAAAGTAGTCGCAGACATTGTTGAAGGTTTTGTACCTCTACGGTGTACGGTTTCAGAGGAGTAGCGATAACAAGGGATTACACTGAAAGGGGCACCAACTTTTAGAGGAATCAATCTTAGGGGACAAGCATGAAATCTCTGAAAAGGTATAAAGAGTACATACCAAAGATGCAAAAATGTGTAGAATTTGGTGAAGAACAAGAGCTATAAAAAATGCTTAATTTGACATATTTTGAATGACCTTGACCTTTGACCTTGACCTAGATTTAAAGGTCAAAGGTCAATAAATTTTTGGCAGTTGGCCCCATGTCTCTACGACTTGTCGTTTAAGAAAAGATCTTGATATTCTTAAACACCGGAAGCAGTCAGGGGCAATAATTCATTATAGGAGTTTACGAATTCTTTCGAAAAGACAGATTGAAGCATCTACTAAATAAGTCGTAGACATTAGTTAAGGTTTCGTAACTCTACGTTTTACGGTTTTG